GAGTTAAGGGGGAGATTCACTGAGGACGGCACCAGAATTGCTACCATCCCAGGCGGTATCTGCTTATTGAGATAGTTGACTGAAAGGAATGTCTTTTATTTACGATTGGATTGGATTTTGATGGGTCCCCAGTTCAGCAATGGGTTCCACTCTATGACAAGGGAGTGTTTCAACGTCGGAAGCACCGCAAACAAATTATTTTCTCGGTTTTGAAAATGTACGCGGTGCATGCAGACGACAGGGGTGTTGATGTGGATTTATACCCATGGATCTTGTCTTGGGATTGTGGAACAACCATGAGTCGAAACCACAAGAAACCGCCAAGCCTGAACCTGTTCTTAAAGGCCGCTAAACCTGAAGGCCAAATCAATGGCGAAACAGCGCTAACCCCCCCTCCCCCAGTAAAGACAAGTGAAGACCAATATTTACGTCATCTTTGTCACAACACCGTCTGTCAAAGTGACACCATGCTTGCTTTTCTGCAGAATTTTCTTCTAGCTCATCCTAATATTTCAAAATCTAGTAAAATACATTAAGTCAGTCCTTTGTTGACAACAGACAAACAGACCCCCTTATATAACAAGATGCCTTCATGTCTCAGTAACACAGAAGCGTCTGTTAAAACAACACTTAAGAAGGATGTAACACCTGTGAACGCACCTGACATGACATTTAAGGTGCTGACATAGTAAACGTCTGTCGCAGCATGCTCTGGACTGCTCGGTTGCTATGGAAACTGGGGTGTTATTGCCAACAGTTCCACACCACAATGAACACAGCAGGATGAGAGTGATATTTGACTACCAAGTGTAAGATACTGTGTTATCGTTGTCATCCCGACACCTTGGGTTATCAAACGTGACGCCCTAGTGTCCCCATTATGACACTTTAACACCCCAAGTGACACAACGCCAGCACGTTGTCCCTAACTTTGTCACCTTTGTCGCCTATACTCCTGGCACTTTCTGGTGTCGCTTCGCCACCTCACTGCGACTTTATGTGACGCTCTGTGACACTTACATTAATTGTCGTGACTCGAATTCAAGTAGAAAAAGTCACTTATATATATTAAATAGCAAAGCCTGAAAAAGAGTTGATTCAAACTGTACAGTTAAGTCATTGGTCGGTTCTTATGAGGATATGTACTATAACTGGCCTTATGCCGTCCTTAAATAGTTTCTTCTTTTTTCCTTTAGTTGGTTTCATCTTGAAATTGTCTATTAATCAAATAATTAATCCAACAGTATGTACATTGATTATAATGATATATATTAGTTTAATTATTTGTTTGTTTGTTTTTAATTCATGTACATTTTAACAACCTTTCCCCTTTCACGCGCAATATTCCAGAGGCGACAAAAAAATCCACATCTCAACATAAAATATCAACCGCACATTGAAGAACTTAAGGTAAAAATGGCCAAAAAGGAACACTCAAATTTCACACTCAAGGTCGTATCTTTTCGCTAAATCATACAAACTGACCAACGTGTTTGATTTATCAGACATAAATCGTGGACCAGACCTATCGAGTGTCTTTCTAATGGACTTAAACCCAGTCCTGTCTTAACAACTAGTCGCGATTTTACGGCCATTCCAGGAAGTTTTCTCAATTCCATCCAGTACATTGTGGGTGCCCTGTGATATTGCCAATGATTTGATATTGCAGTAGGAAACACCTTAAAATCCCACCAAGGCACCCACACATGGAGACGATTCAAGTGAAAAAAATAACATTCCCTCTGTTAAGGTATGTTTGCACCACTGAGATTGTTAACTCTAGGAATAACAGGCGTCTTTTGAGGTGTTTGCTGACGGCACGCGGCAGGCTGACCCCGAACCGTTTCCAAAGAAAACCACCCGAATCTCGTTAGCTTTATCAGCGCCACCTGTCCACGCGTTCGCCAGATCAATCACAACCTATTGCCGTTGCTAACTTGATATATTAAAATTAGATGTTTGTATTGAGTTAATTAAAGCCTACTAAAAAGATACAGATTGACATAATAGTCTTTCTTTAGACTGCGTTTAAGCGTGGCTCGCGTCCAAAGTACTTAATCGCTGGGCTTAAAGCTTGCCCCTCAGGGGGAAAACTGACCAACCAACCGCCTTTGCTGCTGGACCATACCTCCCCGCCTCTGACCATGGGACAAATGGAGAAAAGTGGACACTTGAGAGTAACGAATGACCAATTTGGTCTCTGATGTAATTGGCCAGTGTCTCCTATACCTTGGCCCATTGTGACTCAGTGCGCCGTGGAGAAAAGCCTGTGTTGAATGTCGGAGCAGTATTCTCTTGGTGTTAGCAAAATGCGGGGCAGCACGGGGGAATGGCAAATTAGATTCAGTTACTGGTACGTCCCTGTGTGTAACGCTAGAAAAATACCGCCATTGTTTGTTATTCTTCGGGATTGTTCGCCAATATTTAGAAACAAAACAGAACAGAAGAGTGGCCCGGATTGGCCAGGTCGTACAGAGAGAGCGGAGGAGAGGCGAGAGAGAGAAGAGAGAGAGGAGGCAAGAAGGTGGACTCAGTGCAAGGTGAAGACGACACAAATAAAACGTGGGACATATGGTGCAATGTGAGGACACACCAGGGTGACATCAGGCCGTCTAGAGGGTACTTTACCCCCTTCTACATATCCCGGAAAAATAAGGTGTATGGAGGAGGGGGGTGGGGGTTTAGGTGGGGGTGGGTGGTAATTATTTATAATATTATAAGACCTTGAAAGAAACCCACTTATAAATGCAATTATTGGGAATCATGATATCATTTCTAGATGAGAATATTTAATTGTTCTAAAATAACCACGCAGCATGTTCAATTATTGGGAATTAAAATGGCAGAAAATCAATAAAGGAGAGGAAATAGTCTGCAATATTCTTTTCATGCAACTATTTTCAGCATCATAAAAACACCCCCACACACTTTAAAATTCTAACACACATGCATACATAAAATGTAAAAAAGATACTTAACTATACCTAACAAATTATAACAAAATTACATATGAAACACAATAAGCAATCAGCACTTTAGAATCAAATAAACTCGAGTGATTCGCCCAACACCAGTGATAGAATTAATCAATCGTGAGCGTTATCCACATCAAACAGCAATATGTGGCAGCCCGCAGCCCTATAGGCCCGAGTTTGACAAAATGTTACTGCTCATACACAGTGAGGTGTGAAGTCACGAGCCATATTGCCCCTCTGTGAATTTCTTACTCCACACTGGCCTTGCCTTCCCCAAATCTGATACCGTATTTCCATGTGCAATTGTCCTTGACCATGGCGGCGAAGATTAAACTGGGGACAAATTATTTGAAGGCTTTTGAAGGCATTCATGTGGCAACAGCTATTCAGAATACCTTCATTTCTACTGCAGTTGAAGAAGAAAAAAATTGGGAAATTATTCGTCACACGATTCGTTTGACCGCAAAAAATCTGGACGGTGAAAACCGACACTAATTTTACCTTTCAATTTTGGGGTCAAATAAAAGTTGACTTGAGGAATGTCCTACTTTTGGCAGGTGTTATCTCCGCAGTTGTGAAACACATAAAATATGCAAATTTATCCAGCATTCATTTAGTTTTTTTTTGTCTTGTAAAGATGTAAGAAAAGCTAATTTACCAATTTAAATCATGTTATTCTCATAACATTTGTAGAGTAAGAAAGTTTTTATTGAAGAGTTCCAAACAGTTGTCCTCGTGTAACTACTCAGTTACTTAAAATAAGCACACCTACACTTTGTTGTTTCTCCACAAAAAAATCTTTACTTAATATCAACGCCAGACGAAAAATAAGCATGGTTATCTAATTAAAGTCACCCTAAAGAATTCTCTTCGAAGCAGACCAATACTTTTGAATGGCGAAGGAGATTTATGTTCTTCATCCATAATTAATAAACGCACGCCTGGGATTTGACTGACTTTGGGGACGTCCTTGCAGACGATTGTGGTTTGCTGATACTCCTACAGTTAATGAAAAGAAGGACGCCGCTCAATGCTCTTCATGAATTAAAATGAGGTTCATTTCGCCATTATAACTTAACCGTGGTTTAGGGCCCGAGAAGATAACTGGTTGGAAGCATGAAAAATAAATGCTTTGCAACCCCTATTGAAATCTAAAAAAAATTCCACATTTTTAACAAAACTAATAAAAAATATATTCTTTTAACTCCGGTTTTTCAAAGGAGAGAAGTTTCAAGTCGTGAATTGCTTTTCCATTTTATCTAAAGAGTACTTTATCACATGATGAAACGTCATGCTCACAGCGTGAATTCTGAATAACATTACTTGCTCGCAGTTTTTATCTTTGTCCTTATCTACATTAAGCGTATGATATTCGTACTGATAACTCTTAAACTGCCTCCCCTGAACGTGTCGATTCATATTCATTAAAACTAAAGACCGGATAAACAGTAAAACTTTGAGTTAATTAACATCAAGGTTATTTATCAACAGCTTAACTCTTCACCGCCTGGTCTTTAAAATAAAATTGGAACATATCTCGACCCCCAACCACCGTTGTGAATTATGAAAAAATGAATTAATAAAATTGAACCAATCATACTGCACTTAAAGAGATTCTGGAACCCTTGAGCGAGTTTATTGTCTGGGATATTTCTGAGATTTTTAAGACACAATGTTTGTGCTAGAATAATTTAACTTTTAACAAAATCTGACTTATGCACATGAAGTCCTCAGGTACAAAAAGAACATCAAATAGAGAGAATAAAATGCCAAAAATAATGTAATATTAATACATGGATATAATATTAATAATATCAATTCTAATTTTAGTGAAAATAAAAATAGTGTTAGAGTAAAAAGAGTAAAATAAAACACTGTCAGAGGTTTACTTCGTCCTCTGTTCTTTATATATATATGTAAATGGGACAAATATGGTGGTTTCCAAAACTATCTACTCGCTTGGGGAAGGTCCCAGAATCCTTTAATCAACCCAAAGGTGAAATAGAAGCAAAATGTGCCTAATACCTGGGTACCGACCTACGGGGAAAACGTGTCCGAAGATAGAGTGGCTGGTCCCTATGTTCGTACAATTCCAGCGCATCCGTCGAAACTGCCACTGGCACTCGCTGAGCCCCTTCTTGGCCCCCTCCCCTATGGCCACGAGGGCGTCGGGCCGGCTTTGGCAGATGGCCCTCTGTCTCGGAGCCAGGCCGGGAATCTTGTTGCAAATGATGTTGGCTCCTAGAGCTACGACAGTCAGCGCACTGGAAGAAAGGAGGAGGAAAAGGATCAGCCAGGGTCGAAATGAGGAGAGGAGACGGGCACAACACATGTGGTAGCGTCTCGCTGCACCGCGGGTCTTCAGGCGTCACGTCGAGGGCTGGGACCTGGTGGCCGACATTCGTGAGTTCGCCTGGGAAATCACAAGATGCGTCGTGGGGACAAAATCCTCGCTCCGTGGTTGTGTGCGCGCGCTCTCGCAGCGCCGCCACTGAGTGTCTGTTTGAAACCCCCTCAAAGCGCATAAAAAGTCGGTTTTTAACTCATCCTCAATAAATTGATAGTGGGACAATGAACACGTGAGAAATAATAAATCCGATAGATAAAAAACCCGTCTGCTTTTTCAGTTCTTTGAAATTATTCCGAAATATTCCAGAATCGAAGGAGATCTAAGCACGGTGCTGTCCTAGCACGTCTTTTTGATGAGGCTGCTCAATGTCGTCTGCGTGCGTTGCAGAGCCGCGGTATGAAAATAAATGTGATGTCACAGGTGAGTGAAGACGAGACAGGCAAGTAGCACCTTACACAGATAGCGGTGGGAAATGGAACAAACACATTTTACACCATCAGCAGAGGTAAAGGACGCTCTAAGCTGGGGAGAGGGGGGTAGGGAAATCCCGGGGGGACATGACGCGGAGGAAGTGGGGGTTCTACTGCAGCGCCAAGGAGTGCCACGTGAGAATGACGTTTGAATCGTACCAATCACGATTTTTTACACCCAGTTACGGCTGCTGTATTTTTCCGTTAAACCAACATTTTTGTAACTTAGTAAAGGATACTTACAAGAACGTCCCGTCCACTGAGTGCAGCAGGTAGATCAGAAGAATTAAGAGGCGTAGGTAGGCCCCCGGTGCCATGTTAACCGACCATTGCGTTACGGAGACGCGTCCCCAATCAACCGGATCCGTTTAATCCCCTTTAATCCGAGTTTTGTAATCCATAGTTTTGAGCAGGTGTTGCGTTCAACAGCGACTGTGAATGTGATACTATGTTACGACTTCTGTCTCAAGATTCGCCTTCTGATTGGTCGGGAACGCCGTGGTATGAATGTCATTAAACTTCTCGTGCTAAGTGCACATCGAGGCGATTGGTTTGGCGGACGCGGGGTCACTTCTAAGGGGAGCGTTGCATCGCGCCTCACTTCATGCTTGGACGCGGATTTTTATCTCTCAGATCCGTAACAGAGCCAAACTAAGTGGTTAACGAGTAGTATCGGGTCAGGTATAGTCTTAACACGAGCCAGTCGCCGCTACTACCGGTAGGTGGATAGGAAGAGGCGGAGAAAGGCGAACTGCGTAAAAAATCGTTCACCCCTACTTGCGGAACAGAACACCGTAGTGACTAACGTAATGAACGCTGTTCTAATGTTTAACTGCCGTCATGCACCGCACTATACACTGTTAACCCACCATTAGACACAAGTGAATGGGCCTCCACCCCCCGTGCAAATCAGGAAAGAAAAAGTGATAAACAAACCGAGGCCGAAACACAACAAACGGTTAAATGGCAGTGCTCGGGTTGGTGAGTGGCACATATTGTTAGAGGCAGCTCTTCCACGCGCGAGGAACAAAGCGAGACCACGTTGGAAAACACACGGTCATTGTGGACCTCAGAAACTATGTGTTTGGATTGAAAAATTATCAACAAAAGCCAAACTGAAATATTTTTCTTTCCTACTCTCAGCTGGTCCGAGTGGTCTACTCGAGGTGGGCAGTCACAAGTTGACCAACGTGTTCTGGCAGTTGGCCATCTACATTTTTTTCAGATGCCACCAACACTTTTCCATTCATTACTCTCATTACTCTCACTTTTCATTGCTGCGTTGAAAATAAAGACAACTTGTTCGTCGGTAAAAAAAGAATTTATGTTCAAATTTATAACACACCATTTTATAAAGCGTTATATTAGATGTTTATTACTTTTATCTCTGTTATTTCAGTATGATTCTTTTTTATGTTTATTGTATTGTGGGATGACGTTGGTTATTATAGCTTTCTTACCCTTGACAATATCTAATAAAGATAAAACCGATATTGTCTGTAATAAGGCTTGTCTTGATTACTCGACGACAGACGCGACACCTTCTGACTAAATTTGGAAGCAGACGGCGTGGTTTTTTTTGCGCGTCAGTCATAATTCGGCTTTTTAAAAAATTGTCTATGTAATCGTTCAACCATTTTACGGACAGGGTGTTTACTAACGCACCAAAAAAGTCTTCGTCATTCTACCTACCTGACTACACTGTTACTAAAATAAAGCCTACCTGTCAATCTTAAAAAGTAAAGATCACAAATTCGCTTATTGTTACACAGATTGAAATAAAGAGACGGCACTTCGGAGAAACCCCAAACACACTTAACCCCGAGAGTGTACAAATGGGGCCATTCTGCAAGTCACAACACAATGAACGCTACGAGAGCACTTCACTGAAGTAGCTCTTAAAATTTACCTATAAGAGCCCTCGAGAGAACGCGGCTTTCTTCTGCCATGCATGCCTGCGCTGGGCTTAGCATACAGACACTGGCAACAGTAGCGCTTCAAGTTCCGGCGTGAAGACAATCTATACCCACTCCAGCTCCTGTCAACCTCCTCAAACGCCAATCGAAATATAAATCCATTTAAAAGAATAATTTGATTTAGTGACAGCAGTCTCTGATGTCACTATGGGCAAAAAACAGAGGGACAATAAGCGTGTCACTTCAAGAGGTGCTTTACCTGTGTGACTGAGCTCAAGAAATAACACAATTACAGGATATAAATTCTAAACTTGTTTTCGTGACGACAAATACAGTAACGATTTGAACAAAAACAAGGGGACAAAACAGACTTTTTCGAGTTTATGCTCCATGTTGAAAAGCCAAAACTAATCTTGTTAAGTAGTTTAGTGGCTGACGATGGAGGGAGTTTAATACTTGAAATCTGAGTGATGGGGATGCGACGATTTGAACATAGAAACACGTCTTTATAATTTGGCGGAGAACGCGTGCTTATGAATGCACACACGCACGTGCATGCAAAAATGCATATAATAATGTGACATTATTTACGTGCATGTCTTTTCAATGCTCAAACTATTGTATGTAATTTTACGTCACCGAATGTCTATGTTTTGTCAATAAAACATTCTGAGCGTTCCTGAATCACTGTTAATGCAGATGGACTTAGTCGGAATGGGGCCATTTTAACATTTCAAGGGGGGGGGGGTGTATAGGTAGGCAGTGCTATCGTATGGTTTCTTCAAGAAAAGGAGTAGATTTTATCTGTGATTGATGGAATTTATTAACAGGTGCTCAATATTCTTGATATATTATCAGAGGAATGACTGGAATTAGACCTAATGTATGCACTTGGTCAACACGCAAGGGAATACCATGTTGTATTTTATAAATGATTAGTCTTTGCAAACATGTCTGTTGATATATGGTATCGAAAATAACGAATCAAATCAAGTGATTCCAAAGAGGAATGTGTGTGTTGACGGTTTCCTCTCTCTCTCTCTCTCTCTCTCTCTCTCTCTCTCTCTCTCTCATAATTTCACTAAGGAAGATGAGTTATAGTTATTATTAATGACCTAATCAGGAAAAAACGATAAACAAAACCAAAAAAGTTGTAAAAATCCCAAAGCAAAGATGTTTAAGCCTGCAGGTCACAAAAACCAAATAAAAAGAACAGCCTTTCGAAGGGAAACGAGTTCAGTAAATCACGCCCTGGAAATAAATCACCATTTACGTCCGCAGCCATCTCGTGAGGGATGCAGCCAGTTGATGGCAAAACTATGGCTGCCGTAACCACCTAATGAAATTCCAATTAAAACCCAGAATCTCCTTTGAAAGGGGTTTAAGGGCCACAGTATATTTTGGGTCAATATTTACCTTTATATTTACCTACACAGTTTGTCCAAATGCCCTGACTTTTAGGAGCAGGAAATAAAAATGTTTTGAAATGTTTACCCCATCAATCCCTTCGTTACAATAAAAATCACGGGATGCCTTCGACATGAAATTCAACATGCCATCGACTTCACACCGTACAACGTCGCCAAACGCCCTCGAAACACGTCACTCAGGGAGTCGTCAAATACCTAGGCCTTTTTCACGATTCCTCGTAAGAGGTCCTCGAGGACGAATAATTTAATTTCTAGTCTACAGCAACGACTCTTGTTACAGTCAAATGAAATGAGTCCCTCAGGATTTGCAAACATTTGCAGCAAACATGGACTTTCTGAAACCGTGTTTGGACAAATGCGGTCTCCATCCGATATATAGCGCTACCTAATAGGCCTATTAACATGTTCCATGCCGGTGGAATAGGTAGACTGTCGTCGTTGCAGGGTTATGTCTCCAATAATGCTGTAAATGTTATACAAGAAAAAAAAGAGCAGTTCTTATTGAGTTGAGCATGTTGTTGTTGTTGTTGTTGATGATGTGTGTGTGTGTGTATGTGTGTGTATTTGCGCGCGCGTAAGGAGGGGGCTTACAATAAATATTGTAGAGACGATCGCCAATATCCCCTTCCTTTGCAGAAATCTTTTAATTCTTTAAATAATTCATTCAAATTACTTTTAAGGGGAACCAGAAAGATAACTTTTTATAACATTCCCAGAGAGATACATGTGTTGTGTCCAATTTTATATTTTTAATAAAGTTGAAAAGCGATCTCTATGCTATATTAGAAGAGACAGAATAACCCTTCTCTCTTACAGACATTTACTGACAGGACGACATAATTTTTGGGGTTCATTCTAATTGTCCGTATTAAAGTTTAGAGGGACAACATCGGTCGCAGCTGAAAGAAATTTGCTCAAGCTATTTCACAAAAGAATAACCTACTACAAGTACCTGCTGATGGGCAAAGTTACGCTTTAAGTTTTGGAAGAAAGAAATGTCCCATCCTATACTAGTAGATCTATACGTAAGGGTTATAGTTGTTCACGTGTTAGTGTAAAGAGGATTTCCAACATCCTGAAGTCCTATTCAGCCAAACAATTGTCACGAATAAAGAGTTCGGGTGTGTCATGATCATCCCATCCTATTGATTGATTCATTTATTTATCATTGATTCATTCATCATAGTGTCACGTGTTATAATATATTAAACACCCTAATCTTCGGGCACATACCATGTTTTATATGCTGTGCCTTGTTTCAGTCTTATGTTATATATACTGTGATTGTAAATTTTGACAGTTATCTTAATCTTCTTATCGCATTTTTTATTTATTGACGTAAAATAATTGAAGTACTGGCAGTCGAGGAAATACATTTGCTTTTCATTGCACGCATATTGATACGCTAACATTACGCATACATTGTTTAATACGTCTTTAAGATGAGAACAACTAATTAGATAATTGGAAGTTGATAAAATGCGTAAAATACGCTTGGTGATGGAGAGTAGGGCATGTCACTGAAGGGATCGAGTGGCTTGTTCCGGTTTAGACACCTGCGCTAATTAAAACGAGACGAGGTAAGGAGTAGAAAAAAAGAAATGTCTGAAAATCAGGTGAATTTTCTTCTTTTGGGAATGTAAAAGATACCAATGCGTCAAATAAGACGCTCGAAGAAGATTGAATAGGTATCGGTGACGTCATTGTTTCCGCTATTTCTCTCTCTCCTTTTTTGATTATTTTTTGAGACCACCCAAAATCAAACTCAATCTATCTTTCAAATACGATGTATAGTTTTACTCTTGCGAGTGTTACGTGTGAAAGAGAGGTGATAGGTGACTCTACAACATTAGTGTGAGTTAGATTTAAACATCTTTGAACTTGAATGTAAGTTTACTGTTTTTTTTAAGATTTCAAGCAAAAAAAGTGTCCCATCCAAATGAAGATTACAAATAATAGTATGATGTGTAAATAACAGATTAAAAAACATAAAAAAGACGCTTGATTATAAATCGCAATATTCACCAATATCAACGACTCTAATAAATCAGTTTTTTTACCTCTCGTTCTGCAGTAGTAATGTATAATTTATCAGTAAGATGGCGCAGCCAGAAATAATCTAGTAACCGCGATAAACTGTATTTACTCGCACATCGCTTCAATCAAATATAAAGTTGTCATAAATTCATAGATAGCTCATATTATCAGCCAATTGACAGTCTGTGTGTTGATCTTAATACAACGAGGACGGCCCGGGCGCCTCTCCGTTGCGAAGGTGTTTGCGGACTTGACGTGAAGACGATTACATCGTTTGGTTAAGCACCATCTGAGTGAGGAAAAATAGCCTTGTTATTATTATTGAGCTTGATTTCAGTCTATAATTCACACCAACTATGTTGACATTGCAGAACCATACTTTTGGCATTGCCTAAGTCTCCTCTCTCTCTCTCTCTCTCTCTCTCTCTTTCTCTCAAGAATTCAAAAAAGAATAAAAATAAGATACAAATATAAGGGTGACTCGAGTAGATCTTTTTAAATGTAACTAAGCAAGTACGTGCATGGACACATACTCATTCACATACACACGCACACACGCAAAGAGAAAGAGAGAGAGAGAGAGAGAGAGAGGGAGGCAGGGAGGGAGGAACAGAGAGACGCTGTATCTTGATTAATGTGACGGACCACTAAAGATCAAGCCATCTTATCAGCTCAGTACACATGGCGTTCAAGTTATAGATTTCCCCGTGTATTAAGAATTCCGTGCTCTAGCTGGGACACCATCCTGTCGAGTAGAACGCCATGGCGAGCCCATCCAAACTTCCCCGTCATCACTTCACAAAATAGTCCTCCGCAGACGATTCTCGTGTATTAAGTGCCGAAATGTCGTAATATATCAGCTAAACAGAAGATGCCCAAGTCACTGAAGTCAAACCCATTTTGATATCTCTGTATAATATCTGTCATTTGATACCTTTCTTAGTCAGGTTTATCTTCTGTCTGTTGTTCTGTCTTATAAGTATTAAATGCAGGATTGGTGGGCTTACTGCTTCTAGTTTAGAGTACTTTAAAGATGCTAAGGAATTAGATGTCACATGTTTTACAAATGGGAGAAGGCAGACGCGAGAAGAATGAGGTATACGGAAGGTACTGGTAAACTACGATTTCTGTTGACGAAACTGTGCTGAACCTGCCTTGTTGAAAGAAGAACGGACGTCTTCTAAGTTCGCTGAGTGGAATATAATGCACAGATTCATTTACGTAGGTGCGCGTACTAAGACCAAGCAAAGCCTAGACACTTAGGGTATTCTAGAGAAAATAATGCGTACATAAACATTGAAAGCTGATGATACTGTCATTCAATTTGCTCAGATTAGATCACTCCTATCGATCCATTACACTCGATGATTACTCGACTTCAGGCAACGGCAGTAAGAAAACTTACCCTGGATGGGCGATTCTTCCATTCAAAGACGACAACGAGCAGACGATCAAAAGGAAGCTGATTCGGAAAACTGCTACCATTATGTCGCCGCGCTCCTGAGACGGAAAGACACCACCGACATTTTTATCTTGGTTTATATTCTGTCAGATGGTGGAAGCACACTTTCTCATCTTTTTATAAGTTGTTGCCTTTTAAACAACTGTTTCTTTTTCAATGGAGCTAGCCCTCTTGAGTTCTTAAGATGGTTTTCAAGAATCCCTTCAGGCGGTGGCGTTAGTGTTGACTTGGACGCTCATTGGTCGGAAATGTCGTCTGCAAACGCGAACGTGAAAATCCTTGGTGCTCTCTCGAAAGGAAAAAAACTACTTGAAAAACGTGAAACACGCGAACTGATCTAAATCTAAGTTGGTTTCAAGATCCTTTGTACTCGATCACTATACGTCATTTTATTCCGGTGGTCTCGTTAGAGGGTGTCAGGGAATAATCTCCGCAATTATATCGCCTTCTCTTGGAGCACATCGCCAGCCTTGGGCTCGGTCGTCTGGGTTTACCTCCTACCTTCAGACCCGCAAGGTCGCCATGTCTTTAAAAAATTAGCCTTGTCAGGCAATGGAACGCGATCTGACGGCTCGGTGCGCTGCCTTTGTGGCGTTAATAAAAACACACTATTTCAAAAACGATTCTCTCGTTTTGGCAGGGCGATTGATTCCATCTTGGACAATGAACTGTCTAGCACACGCGGAAGGAAGATGTGACGAAACGTTACTCGAATTGTAAAAAGATCACTCCTTTTTCTTTGTCGTTTCCACTTTTTTCTCTCGCTGATGAGTAAGTCTGATATCAGAATAGAGTAATTATAACGTTACATTACAGCTGCCACCACTTAAGTAAACCTCATTTTTTGTTGGGCATCCCTAATTCCTGATCTGTCACGTTCTCGTCTGCGGAACTGTTCAAACGCAGACGATGCACAGCAGACGACATGTAACGATTACACACGATGTTGGTTTAATTTACCTCATCTTGAGTGCGCGCGGTGTGACACTCGCCAGGCGACGTTATCTCGCTTGTCGCAACAACCCAGAGTTGGTGGAGTAAAAACTCTCGAGAGCGCTGCCCGCGGCAAGGAGGCCTCCTTCGATGGAAGCCTACAATCGACGCGTGCGACATTTTTAGCGCTCAGCTTTTCACACGATATATTTTTAGTTTTCTCTCCTCTGCAGTCTGTTGAATTCCCAACTCAGTGAAAGAGCAAACAGTTCGGTTCCATAGTCCTACACGTTCCCTACACTCCTCAAACAGTGGGAGATATTTGATATTGAAACGGGGTTACAAGTTTAAGATTGAAAACAATTGAAAGTTTTATTTTTAGTTTTATCTGCATGTTATATTGTCGCTCATTTAATGGTAAATGCTATTACTCGAGATCCATTTCACAAGTACAGTTTCAATGAGCCAACAGATCTATACAAAACAAGACAATCTCATCAATTTTGTTTTGTTTTTTTTTATGTAAGAAATGCTAAATTTATATTCACTAACACTATTGACTAACATAATAAAACGTATGCATAGAACAGAGATTAAGATACCAATCTGTAGATAATTAATAATCTGTTGTCTGTTATCAAATTTGAAGAAATAAGCAATTTTTAGAATAAGTGATGGGTAATGCAATGTAGATAAACATTTACAGAAGATAAAATGTCATAGAGCTGAATTGTATGAACATAAAATTTCACTGTCCAGGAATAAAACTGTACACAGTAGCAACATTTTCATTCATTGGACCAATAAGCCAACACTTGAGGGTTCTCAGAGGCAGTCAGCCGTAAAAAATGATCACGTGATGCAAATACTTCAGCAGACGACAAATAGCTCGTCAAACATGTCCACGTCACAGAAAGCGTCTTAAATATCGATTCTAGATTCAATGGAATGGCTGAAGAGCGACCTTAGCCACCTTGGTGAGATTAGACACCCACGCATTTAAGATGAAGTAAACGCAATCTAAACATCTTATCGGCAATATATTTAATGAATGATCAGTGACGTTTAACGAAACTATGTGAAAAATATATATTGAAAGAATAAACCCTGCGGTGAAGAAGGGTTAGTTCTTTAATGAAATGAAAAAATGTGGTGAAATAGGTTGTGATTGTCTTTTCTGTAAAGGTGGCATAAGGCATAAGAGTTCATCGGCGAGAGAGCCAAGTGACCAAGACAATTTGACCAAACATCGAAACATCACGCTAATAAAAAAATGCTTATGGTCGCTATTAAAATAATTTACGTTTACAGTAGAAAAATATGTATTACCTTAAAACCCAATTTAGAATAACCCGTTCAATTGGAGTGTGCTTTTACTCCATACAGGTTCATAGATATTTAAAAAAAAATGGGCAAAAAAATTTGAATTATCTTCCTTTATTTCTTGATTGGCACAATTTTCCAGCTTATCTTTATCCGTGTTATTACTGCTGTTTAGTTAGTATAGTAGGAAGGTGAGTAGTTACGCGTAGATGTAAGTAGGTACATGTATGTAGCCTACACATAGGTATGAGAAGCACCTGTTGGCAAAACTAGGTGCGCAGACAGGCAGGCAGGCATAGGTAAGTATAGGTAGGCACATGTGAGAACAGGTAAGTACAGGTAGGTATAGGTAGGTACATATAGGTACATGTAGGTATAGGTAGGTACATATAGGTACATGTAGTTATAGGTAGGTACATGTAGGTCCATGTAAGTAGAGGTAGGCACATGTAGATACATGTAGGTACAGGTTGGTATAGGTAGGTACATATAGGTACATGCAGTAATAGGTAGGTACATATAGGTACATGTAGGTATAGGTAGGTACATATAGGTACATGTAAGTAGAGGTAGGCACATGTAGATACATGTAGGTCCATGTAGGTATAGGTAGGTACATAAAGGTACATGTAGGTATAGGTACATGTAGGTACAGGTAGGTTAATTAAGGTACAGGTAGGTTAATATATGTAGGTAGGTCAGTGGATACATTAAGGAAGGTATATACAGTAGGTTAATCTGATGAAAGATTGATTGATTGAAACAATGACGGATCATTATAATAATAATTTATTCTTATATGACGCATTCCATTAAAATACTCCTAATACGACTTACAATTGTTTTAATTAAAAGAGCCAAATGAAACGATTTAAAAGAATTAAATAATAATATTACAAGTCATTAAGATTTAAAATGACAAATTTGAGGGCTAAAAATGGCAAATCATACAATATTTGAATAAATAGATTAAATAATTTATTGAGCTGATAAATGTTTTTTAAAAATCAATAAATAGATATATAATTATATGCTCATGTAAGCACATTTCGTTAATCAACCTTGTTCTAATCCAATACATCGTCTAATGCAATAATATTACAGGCGGTATTCCTGAACGGTTGACACAGGCTGATAAGGTTAGGAGTTTTAAGTAAACGTGACCCGAGGAGATGTGGCAATAACGGGCAATTAATTAACTTTAAGCACGGAGAGGGGATGGGGCCCTCCAGACGCTGTGATACGGTCTATTCAGACGGGAATCATTTAAGACCGAAATCGGTCCCACTTGCGTCGCCAGAGAACTAGATGGATTATTATGGTGATTTGATGTCCAGAGAGTGAGAAATAACACTGTGCACTTGACTGTAAGATTATGTGGTTAATGGTTTTAATGGTTTGGTGACGTGAGTTTGTCTGTTGATCGGTCTCAAGTTGAACTTGTCTGACCAGACGTCCAGAGAAGAGATTTATGACGGCACTTTCCTCAGCACCGATACATTTTCGTTCTCTGTAGTGTTGTCACCCAACCTTCGACGGTGTGACCATAATATACAACTAAAAACTATTCTGAATGCGAATCTTGGAAATAAAAGCCCACCTGTCCCCCCCCCACCTTCTCACCCAAACCCATCCCACGCCCCCCCCCCCCCCCCCCCCACTCACCAAAACCTTCGGATCGCATGTGTTTCTATATACTACAGGTATATTCAGTCCACTTCGGTAAGATCAAAGAAGTCGTAGTCACGGGAGTCTCCTATGATATTGACACAGTGTTGTGGTTTTCCGTCCAACACCTCCGCTTTCTCAGGGAGGTGAGCCAGTCCTGGTGATGGACGTAAGTGCTCCCATGAGACGGTGAACATATGCTGGCCACATGGTGCTACCTGCCACCTGGGAGGGACAAACATGGAGCGGAATCGTGATTTTATTTTTCTTCATCTTTTGTTGGAAGGTCAATGATGTTGTTCATTTTTAATATCTTATAATTAATGGCAACATAATGATAATGTGAAATGTTTGTGTCTTAGTAGTATTTGTCGGTTAGTGTTGTGTAAGTAGCATTAGGACGTATACGTAGGTATATTTTCTATCTCATGCGGCAGCACTGATGAGGATGTCATCATAACAGGGTAAGATTTTTTTCAAGCGTTGTTCGTTAAATGAGATGAATGCCTACAAACGCAAGTTGTGGAGTTGAAATTGAGATTGATGCTTTCGTTGGAACTTAAAATGAATCCAAAATTTCAACATTCTTTTCTTTTTTCTTTCTTTTTTTTTTTGGGGGGGGGGGGTTGTCTTCCTATTTTAAGCTCAGCGGAATTAGCGTAGCCTCAACTTGATAACTCTCTCTCTCTGTCTTTCTCTCTCTTTCTCTCTCTCTCTCTCTCTCTCTCTCTCCACCCCCACACAACCCGACATCCACGAGTTGTGACAAATCTGAAGTAGTTGGCAGTGTTTATAAGGATGTTTCTCCACAAGTCCGCGGTAATCGTGCTGCTATTGACTGTTGATATTGACTGGTGTCTTGAGAAAAGATCGATGAAGTGTCAGCAGCATTCCGGCGTCGAGATGCTCATCACTCGGGGAACTTTATCTCGGGGGCCATGACACCACCACACCAGAGCCATCTAGTGGCCGTTTTTACTTCAAAAATATTTGAAGCTGTTAAACTGTTATATTTTATATAACCGTTTGATGTCAGATTTCCTAGTTATGCGAACATGAAAACAATTGGGGAAAATTGAGAGAAAATTGACAAAAAAAGTATCGGTACTATTTTTAGATGAATTTTGGTAGAATTGGAAAATAGTCCAAAAATAATGCTCTATCATTATTATCTTTTTTTTTTAATCATAAAGCTTACATTTACACATATATTAGCTTTGTGTGTGTGTGTGTGTGTGTGTGTTTTTATTATTTTTTTATTATTATTTTTTATTATTATTATTATTATTTTTTTGGTTTAATTTCAAGTATGTACCATAATAATATCATAGATACAATGTTTATTAAATCTAACCGGAATTCATATGTAAATATTCATAATATTCTTATGCCCTCCATGTGTTTTCCACCTCGCTGTTTTGACATGTAGGCTCGATTACTTAATATTTATATCTGAATTAGTATATAGGTGTATTTGGGATATTTCTTCACTTAAAACATTCTTGCCAAAGTCCTAATCTAAGATTAATCTGTTCTCACTGACTATAAAAATTGCAATATAAGTCATCTCATCAGAGTCTTAGTAATGCGTTAATCCCCTCTCACGAGACACCCGATCAACTCGGACGCTTGGATGAGATAAAAACAATCTGAAGATAAAGTAAACAGCGCCGTAGCTAATATTTGACAAGAGCTCCGCGTTTTTGTCATTCAAAGCTGTCAAGCTGTCACCTCTGGTGTCTAATTGGATCACATTTGTCACCCGAGAGCTGACGGGACGTGCCTGCGTCACCGGGGAGGGGAGAGTGGGGGGGGGGGGGGTTGATGACGTCTGGAAAATCACGCACGCGTCACGTGTGGACCTGGATGATTAAGGTGCTTATGTTATGGTGGGAATTGTTTTCAAATGACAATTTTCTTTTTGTTAAGCGCGCGCGTGTGTTTGTGCGTGCGTGCGTGCGTGTGAGTGTGTGGTGTGTATGTGCATG